CTCCCGCAGCCCGGTCTGTGACCAGGCCTCCTGGTGGATCAGTCTGATCAACCAGGCTGTTACTGCTGGCTGCATGCAATCCAACGTACGAGCCACAGCCCGGCTGGTCAGGAACCGACTTTAGGTGCTTGTCCAGTGCCTGCTTGAAGACTGCCAGGGGTCTATTGGTAATCCCCCTTACGTATGCTGGGAGGCAGTTGAACAGTCTCGGGGCCCCTGACACTTATTGTATTGTCTCGTAAAGTGCTAGTGACCCGGTGGCCTGGTGGCTAAAGCTTCCGCTTCACACACGGAGGACCCGGGTTCGATTCCCGGCGGGTGGAAACATTTCGACACGTTTCCTGTTCACCTAGCAGCAAATAGGTACCTGGGTGTTAGTCGACTGGTGTGGGTCGCATCCTGGGGGACAAGATTAAGGACCCCAATGGAAATAAGTTAGACAGTCCTCGATGACGCACTGACTTTCTTGGGTTATCCTGGGTGGCTAACCCTACGGGGTTAAAAATCCGAACGAAATCTCTTACCCCTGCTTTTCATTGGGGGGATGTTGCATCGTCTGCCGAGCCTTTTGCTTTCATTGTGAGTGATTTTCGTGTGCAAGTTTGGTACTAGTCCTTCTAGGATTTTCCAGGTGTATATAATCATGTATCTCTCCCGCCTGCATTCCAGGGAGTACAGGTTCAGGAACTTCAAGCGCTCCCAGTACTTGAGGTGTTTTATCTCCGTTATACACGCCGTGAAGGTTCTTTGTACATTTTCTAGGTCAGCAATTTCACCTGCCTTGAAAGGTCCTGTTTGTGCAGCAATATTCCAGCCTAGATAGAACAAGCGACCTGAAGAGTGTCATCATGGGCTTGGCATCCCTAGTTTTGAAGGTTCTCATTATCCATCCTGTCATTTTTCTAGCAGATGCAATTGCTACAATGTTATGGTCCTTGAAGGTGAGATCCTCCGACATGATCACTCACAGGTCTTTGACGTTGGTTTTCCCTCTATGTTGTGGCCGAAATTTGTTTTGTACTCTGATGAAGTTTTAAATTCCTCATGTTTACCATATCTGAGTAATTGAAATTTCTCATCGTTGAAATTCATATTGTTTTCTGCAGCCCATTGAAAGATTTGGTTGATGTCTGCCTGTAGCCTTGCAGTGTCTGCAATGGAAGACACTGTCATGCAGATTTGGGTGTCATCTGCAAAGGAAGACATGGTGCTGTGGCTGACATACTTGTCTGTGTCAGATATGAGGATGAGAAACAAAATGGGAGCGAGTACTGTGCCTTGTGAAACAGAGCTTTTCACTGTAGCCGCCTCAGACTTTACTCTGTTGACTACTACTCTGTGTTCTGTTTGTGAGGAAATTGTAGATCCATCTACCAACTTTTCCTGTTATTCCTTTAGCACGCATTTTGTGCGCTATTACGCCATGGTCACACTTGTCGAAAGCTTTTGCAAAGTCTGTATATATTACATCTGCGTTCTTTTTTGTCTTCTAGTGCAACTAGGACCTTGTAGTGATCCAGTAGTTGGGACAGACAGGAGCAACCTGCTCTAAACCCATGTTGCCCTGGGTTGTGTAATTGATGGGTATCTAGATGGGTGGTGATCTTGCTTCTTAGGATCCTTTCAAAGATTTTTATGATATGGGATATTAGTGCTGTCAGTCTGTAGTTCTTTGCTATTGCTTTACTGCCCCCTTTGTGGAGTGGGGCTATGTCTGTTGTTTTTAGTAACTGTGGGATGACCCCCGTGTCCATGCTCCATCTCCTTAGGATGGTAAAAAGCCCCTTCTTGCAGTTCTTGATGAACATGGAGTTCCATGAGTCTGGCCCTGGGGCAGAGTGCATGGGCATGTCATTTATTGCCTGTTCGAAGTCATTTGGCGTCAGGGTAACATCAGATAGGTTTGTGTTTACCAAATTCTGTGGCCTCTCATAAAAAATTCATTTGGATCTTCGACTCTGTTTGGTTAGCAGCTTGCTAAAAACTGAGTCATATTGGGACTTGAGTAGCTCACTCATTTTCTTGCTGTCATCTGTGTAGGACCCATTTTCTCGACTTTGATTTGGCATAAGAAAAGAAATACTTTGGGTTTATTTCGATTTCATTTATGGCTTTTAGTTCTTCCTGTTATTCCTGACTCCTATAAGATTCCTTTAGCTTAAGTTCGATGTTTGCTATTTCTCTGACCAGTGACTCCCTATGCATTTCAGATATATTGGCCTCTTTTAGCCGCGCTGTTATTCTTTTCCGTTGCCTGTAAAGGGAGCGCCTGTCTCTTTCTATTTTACATCTACTCCCCCTTTTTCTTAAAGGAATATGCCTTGAGCATACATCGAGTGCCACCGAGTTAATCTGTTCTATGCATAAGTTGGGGGTCTGTGTTGCTTAGTCTATCTTCCCAGCTTATATCGTTTAGGACTTGGTTTACTTGGTCCCACTTTGTTCTTGTTATTGAAGTTGAATTTGGTGAAGGCTCCCTCGTGACTAATCTCATTTTATCAGTCTGGGGCTCCATGCATACATGTCTGAACCTTGATTATGTTGTGATCTGAGTATATTGTTTTTGATATGGTGACATTTCGCATCAGATCATCATTGTTAGTGAAGATGAGGTCTAGTGTATTCTCCAGTCTAGTAGACTGTTATTTGCTGGTTTAAGTTGAATTTTCTGCAAAGATTTAAAAGCTCGTGTGTGAGAGAGTTCTTGTCAAAGCTGCCTCCTGGTGTTACCACTGCAACAACATTATTTGCTATATTCCTCCATTTTAGGTGCCTCAAGTTGAAATCCCCGAGGAGCAAGCTGCTGGAGGCAGGAGCTGGAAGATTTTCCAGACAGTGGTCAATTTTTAACAGCTGTTCCTGGAATTGCTGGGACGTTGCATCCGGAGGCTTGTAGACTACTGCACATTAATTCATACAAATTTGCAGCCCATTGTTTAAATTCACGAATTTGTGGCTGTAATTTTTAGATTTTTTCTTGTGGATCTTCCGTGTGAAATTTCTAAAATTTTCAGTTTTCAGTGTGCAGTTTTTTTTTTTTTTTTATTTTTTTTGCCCAGATCTTTCACTCTGTTACGTGTCCCATGGCAAAGTTGGCAATTCACTCGCCTTACACACTGAGTGTCCTTGGTTCAGTCCCAGCATAGGTAGAAATGATGGGCATGTTTCCATACACCTGCTGTATCTGTTCACTTAGCAGTAAGTAGGTACCTAGGTGTTAGTAGACTAGACTAGTATGGGTTGCATTCTGGGGGACAATATTAAAGAACCCAAATGGAAATAAGACAACCAGTCCTCAATGGCACATTGACTTTCTTGGGTTATCCTGGGTGGCCAACCCTTTGGGTTAAAATTCCAAATATCTCTTATCTTAAATAGGTTACAGCTCAATCACTAGCACACTCGGCTCACTCACTGAGGTCCAGGGGTTGATCCCCAGTACGGGTGGAAATATTAGGACATGTTTCCTTAAGACACCTGCTGTCCATGTTCAGCTATCAATAAAATAGGTACCTGGGTGTTAGTTGATTGGTATTAGTCATATCCTGGAACAAAATTAACCTAATTTGCCCAGAATGATCAGCTAGGCCTGTATACCTTGTATGTGTAGAAATAAAATATTATTAGTAGTAGTAGTAATAGTAGTAGTAGTATTTAAAAAGATGGCAACTGAAATACAAGTTATATCTGAAAATTGAAGGTTTTTGGATTTACTGAGACCTCTAGAAATGTATCTGCTACAAGTTTCAAAGGACTGCACTTTTATCCTTTGAAATTCATTAAGTAATGCTTTGTCTTTCATATATAACTTTGTGTATTACAATGTTTAATTTTAGTATTAGAGTAATATATCACTACTCTTCCATTCTTCTTTTATGTTTTTAATCTAGATCTTTATTTGTGCTGTATCATAAAGAACAGTAGTGAAATTGTAGATAGCTTCAGATTTTTTATTCAGTGCATTTGCTTAAGAAACTAAACATTCAAATAATGCATGTCTTCCTGTCCTGACTTACTTTACAGTCCATTGACCCATATATGAATACATGTACATAACTCTTTAAATTAATAAACACTAATTTGATTGTACTTAAGCCCCATTATAATTTGGGTTTGTCACTTGTGGTGACCCTTTTCTATCTCTTGCCTTTGCATTTCTTAAAATTGGAATTAGACTGTAATTTAGTTAAGGACAAGAAGACATAAATAGCTTTACCCCTGTATCTACAGTTAGGTTAATTACACATACATGATGGTGGGAAAAGAGAGGCCAGTACTACCATAATGACCAAAATATAAGCAGCTGGTAGAGAGGCTTGTACAAATAGCATAATATCAGTGGCATATACAATGTTAGCAAATATGAGAGTAGCATTCAGGCAATTAATAGGAGTTTTCTAGAGATTATACACAGAGTTTGCACAGTGTTGAGTGAAGTTTTCCTCAGGCACATTAAAAGACTGAGAAGATCCTCTCCAGAAATGTGCTGCCAGGCTAGTTTCTGAGACGGAGGACCTGAGCTATAAGGACTTAAAAAACTAAATCTCACAACACTTGAGATATAAAGGGAACATGGTCACAACATAAAAGATGCTTAGAGATATTTATAAGGTAGATCAGAGTGGGCTGTTTGAAATGGGAACTACAAGGATGATGGCACTCAAATGAAAACCATGCACAGGGATGGGGGCAGCAGTATTCAAATTGGTTATAGCTAGTGAGATAAGAAATGGGATCTAAACTCTAGAATTTAATCCCCACAAACAGTCAAGTGAATATGTTGTACATAAGAGAAGCAAGCATAATCTTTGTGTTATCTGTAGTGTTATGTGAAGATGTATTAGGCACTATATTTGCTAATTAGCTACATTTTAATGTTACAGAAGTTAAACGTACATTTCGAGTTCTGAGGAAGTACCATACAGTACTGTACTGTATATCAGATTTTAATGCTCTTGTAGCATCATATAGTGCTTTATTTAATGTCTTGAATATTTTAGGTTGTGGCGTAATTGAGTTGGAAACCTTCTCTTTCTTAAGATCTACGAAATGGATCATGCCAAGGTATGATTAGTGTGAACTGATTAGCAACACAAAGCCTTAATTAGTTCTTGTTATATCCCTGGTCCAAGGAAAAAATTAATTATAGTAACCCCTCATTAATCAGGAATGAAATTTAATATAAATAACTGATTGATTGTTTTCCTATGTAGTTTTGAACTTTGATAACACCACTTAAACATTCACAGATTCAGTTCTCTGCCTACTAGTAAATCATGATAAACTAACGTGTTACAAATATAATCACACTGCACTAATCTAGCATTTTAATAATATAGCACATACATGCTTAAATATACAGTGGACCCCTGGGTTTCGGCTGGTGCAAAAATTGGCCACATTGGAAATCGAGCACTTTTTTTTCAGCGAGATTTCCCCCCTGATTTCGTGCATCTGCTCGGAAATCGTTGGTGCCAGACATGTTTACCTGGGCCGCTCATACATTCATAACTCACTCTTGGGCACATTAAATTTCTTACTTTAGGTTAATATACACATTTTCATTAACCCATCTATATTTTCATCAAAATTATAGAAAAAACACATTACATAGCATATAAACATGCCTTTGTTACTCGTTCACTAAGAGTGTCCCTCTAATCTTAATGCCATTGTTAAAATACTAATACATAATAATAATAATCACTCTTGGGCACATTAAATGTCTTATTTTAGGTTAATATAGACATTTTCATTAATCCATCTAAGATATTTTCTTTCGAAATTATATAAGAAACATGTTACATAGCGTATAAACATGCAATGTGTATATGCTATCAAGTGGTGAGTGGAGGAGGGTAAACATTACGTTTTCTCTGGTCGAGCGTTAGAGAAAACTGAATCTGGCGTCTGACTCAGTCACCACCCTTAATACACATTTGTTTACAATTCTCAGCATGAATTATTAATTACTTCTCTCTTTGTTTAAGATGGCATATAAGGATAGTTGTTAGAAACGATTGAATGTCGATGGTAATAACATGGCTGTGTTCTGCAGTGTAGGCAGCTGGTAGGTGTAGCCCAGAGGGACTACATACGTGTACCTACATCTACCAGCTACCTATACTGACTTCCTACAAATAAATACTACTCGCTTCTCTCCCTACATTAAGACTGCAAATATTTTAAGGTAAGTAATGAATGTACTAACCACTGAAGAGCTGCAACACTATAGTTATTCTCTATAAAATTTGTTTTGTTAATATTTTTGGGTGTCTGAAACAGATTAATTGGATTTACATTATTTCCTCTAGGAAATATTACTTCAGTTTTTGGCCATTTTGGATTTAGGCCAACCTTCTGGAATGGATTAATTACAGAAACTGGGGGTCTACTGTAGTTTCATATTTTCACTGTCATTGTATAACTTTTCTTCCTACTAATATTGGTTTACTTTATGCTACATGTATTGATATATTTTTCATTTCCTACATGTGCCGACCATTAGGGGTAGTTGTTCCCTCTTGGCTATTTAGTGCATGCCGTTACTCTAAAAGGGCTTTGTAAACTTAAACTTTAAGGAGATATAATACTTAAAATAGTATTACTTAGTATGGTACAGGGAATTCTTCAATGCTTGCCTAACTTATAGGCATGACATCTTTCCACTAGTGGATTTTTCCACCAGTAATTCTGCTTTCAGTTGCTTCAGCTCACCTGTCTGTAGTTTATAAGCTAGTTCTCTGCGCATATGCTGTACTTTTATCAAGATTGACGAACTGAACACATCAACTTCAGGCTGAGAGACTGATTACCTCAAACTTCTCATCTTCCGCCGTTCTTCTGTGTATTAGACTGATGAAGCCTCTGGCTGCCAAAACGTTTCCACAATAAAGTTACTAAGCTGTTGCACTAGTGTCTCATTCATCAGCTTCCTATGTTTTTGTTGTATCCAATTTAAAGAGCTCTTAATATATGGCAAGTGATTTGTTGATTGAAGTACAGTATTTTATTTGATATATTTTTTATTAGTTTTATTCGTCTCTGTTGGTTAAAAGTTGCTGATCTTTTCCTTAAAAATTTAATGGCATGAAGTATTTTGGGCATTGGTAGAAATTTTTTAAATCTTACAAAAAAAAAAAAAAAGTTTTCCATGGATGTAGACAATTTGTCTAACCACTGTTTACACAACTGCAATACAGATGACTTACTAGCTATATCCTTTGACTGTTTATTTTGTAAATGTTAAAAGTTTACATTTGTTGTACAGAGCACAAGAATAACACGGTGGCAAAGATACTTCCTATGTGGGACATAGCATGTTATTGGCAAAGGTTCCGATTTGGTATTACAAGCTTATAAAAAAAATTTCCCATTTCAGCAAGCAGTCGTCAGAACCTGTGTCAGTATTCTCACACACAAGAATCTCCCTCCATTTAGTAATAATGGATATTTTTTACTTAGTATTTCATGTTTTACTTGAAGTGCTTACCCATTAACCTGCCCCACATGCTAGCATACTGGGCCCCCCCTCTTTTTCTCATTTCTATCAATGCCCTACAAACACCATCTAGCACCTGAAACATGTATTCTTTGCTGATAACACATTCTTTAATATCAGGTTCAAACCCCTTATTAATAATAAACACCATAATGAATACTGAGCTTCAAAAGGGTCACATTGGTGATTACCAACAAACTCTCTCTCATTATTGATAATGACATTCTATCTTTTGGGAATAAACCACATCCACACTTAGATATCGGAATCAACAGTACTCAAATAGCACAAAAAGAAGAAGAAAAATTCCTAGGTCTAATAATAAACAAACTGAAATTTAAAACCCATGTCCAACACATACAAAAGTCTCTCAGACATTAGGGATACTCCCCAAAATTCACTGTTATGTTCAGTAACCCCTACCTCTACCATTACTTTTCCCTCATCTACCTATACCTCACTTACAGAATCTGTATCTAGGGATCTGCCTCAGCTGCACACCTCAAACCCATTAACTCAAAAGGCAGCTCTCAGAACACTCGCAAACTGTTATACCTTTATTCTAATCTCTAAATCTACTTAATTTAAATGTAATTCATATTACTATTCAATTCACATGTTCAAAACATTGCAAGGTTATGCTTATACTGAACTCAAACAATTCCTAGATAATCATAACAGAAGACATAGGAACTTTACCAAAAACAAATACTGTACCTCTTTGATATCCCTTGTGTTTGATTGAACTTTACAGAAATTCTATGCAAATTAAAGGACCAGTGATGTGGAATAACTTGTAAGACATACTGGAAAATTCCAAGTCTTACTAAATTCCAAACTAAGCTAAAGCAGGAACCGTATGCCGAGATGCCATAGTCAAATTATTTACCCCATCTCTATTTCCAATTTCCCTCTATTGTTTTCTTTTAGTTTCTCTGCAAGAGCACTGATGCTGCAATATACTGTACCAAGTTTTGTTACTTGGAATAGTTACTGTCTTGAATCCGAGTTAGTGTATTGATGGTCACCTATTTTAAAAAAAAATTGTACCTGAGAACTTTTTTGAACTTTAACCAAACTAATTTTTCTTACTGTCATGTACCATGCTATGCTTATCTTTTGGCATGTACATTTGTTATATTCATTTAATTTTACTCTGTGATCATAACAAATGTTTTCAGTACTAGTCAATTTAAATTTGTATTACAAAACACTAATTGGCCTTATTTCATTGTGACTCGGTGAACAGTGTCTTAGCAGACCTACTATTACTCCAGTACTGTTCTCTCTTAGTGTCTTGGAGAGTCTACCTTAGAAACTCCTGAACTGGCTTGAGTTGGGAATTCTGTGGTGAAGTCAGTGGACAGTTATATCCAGATATCATCGGTATACGATGTGACTACCTGTGTCGTGCGTAGAATCCCAAGTGATTGAAGGTGTTAATTTACGGTTGATAAAACCCATACTATTGTATATATACAACTTAGTATTTTTATGGGATTGAAAGAATCTAAGTAATACTTAGTAGATATTTACGAATATCCAAGAAGTATTTAAGCTTTTTATAAAAAAACAAAAAAAAAAACAGAAAATGCTGAGTAACTCTTATTTGTGCCTTACGTTTCTAAGTTTGCAAGTTCCTTCTTATTCTTGGAAGTGATTTTGTTACGGAGAGCACTATCATGGCCAAAGACTAAGATTCGAACCGTAACAATTTGTTTTCATTACCAATAGAAATACACCCATTTCCATTAAGGTGTGGTGAAGCAGAATTCATTTCTGTTAAGGACTCCCATGGCAGGCAGTCCTCAGACCCACAGATTTAAGTGACTTAAGCCCCACTTTATTCCTGAAGTGAGGATGTACCTGTCCCTGAAAAAATCTTGCATTCAGGTTTCTCCTTGTAATGACCTATACAGTGGACCCCCGACATTCGATGGCATCGACATTCGATGCATTTTAACGCAAAAATTTCGCCTCAACATTCAATGGAAACCCCGACATTCGATACGATTCGTACGAGACGTGTCCACGTGTGGCCTGAACTGCACCGTGTGTGTCAGTGTTTACAAGCCAGCCAGTGTGCGCGCATCTAAGGATACATTCGGTACATTCCATATTATCACTGTTTTTGGTGCTTGTTTCTGCAAAATAAGTAACCATAGGCCCCAAGAAAACTTCTAGTGCCAACCCTTCGAGAAAAAAGGTGCTAATGACTATTGAAATGAAGAAAGATAATTGCAAAGTACGAAAGTGGAGTGCGTGTGTCGGAGTGCATGATGATTTGGTAAAGAAATTGCCTGCAACTAGTGATGTGAGTGAATTTAAGGCCAGCAAAGGTTGGTTTGAAAGATTTAAGAATCGCAGTGGCATACACAGTGTGGTAAGGCATGGTGAGGCTGCCAGTTCAAGTCCTAATGGAAGGGGATTCCCCTTCTGAACACTAACACCATCCACACACTCCCCTCCTCCCATCCCATCAATCATCACCAGATCTTTATTAAAGGTAAGTGTCAATTATTCTATTGTTATTGATCTATTGTTATTGTAATTATTGTATTGC